CACCGCATTTCTTTTTACAGTCATTCTCACTTTAGCACTTTTTTAATTTTCTTTAGTTTAGGTCTGTTTCTCAAAACCTCAGCAAGAAGCTTAGACTGCAGAGGACTGTTGACTTTGAATCCCCCTTACATGTGCAGTTTCATACAGCCTCATGTAATGGAATGAAGCTATCGCAAAATTTTAGAACAGCCTCATCAAAGCTTTCAACCATAAATTAATTTCCTACTATTAAAAGGGGATGGAATGTCTTAATTTGTCCTAATGTGTTCCTTCCTTTCTCCCTGCAGACCCGGAGATCGAATAATCCTGGCAGATGATTCCAATGATGACTGGTGGAAGGTAAGATTATTACAGATTTGCAGAATGTTTGATGGAAAAAGAAAAAAAAAAGACTTAAATGGTTAAACCTTGTTCTCTCCAAATGTGACGTTCTGCATCACTAAAGGCTGGAATACACTACACAGTGTTTAAAATCTGAACAGATTTTACTAGAGAATGTTGATGTTTCAGAGAAAAACTGGGCATCACACACTAAACGACACTACCAGATATTCAAGTCATTCTGAACACAACAAACTCCCGGAAAAAGGGAATTGGTCTGAAGCTAGAAAATCTGCAGATTGGCTCCGACTTTCAGCAACCAGCACTGACTCCTCTAGACTGTAAATCAACGATGCTCACAAATAGTAATTTACAAGTACATAAAAAGAAATGCATAAATGTACATTGTTTTCATAATTATATAGTACTATAATATGTGACCCTGGACCACAAAAGCAGTCTTAAGTCGCTGGGGTATATTTGTAGCAATAGTCAAAAATACACTGTATGGGTCAAAATTATAGACTTTTCTTTTATGCCAAAAATCATTAGGATATTAAGTAAAGATCATTTTCCATGAAGATATTTTGTAAATTTCCTACCGTAAATAATTCAAAACTTAATTTTTGATTAGTAATATGCATTGCGAAGAACTTAATTTGGACAACTTTTAAAGGCGATTTTCTCAATATTTTGATTTTTTTTGCACCCTCAGATTCCAGATTTTCAAATAGTTGTATCTCGGCCAATCCTAACAAACCATACATCAATGGAAAGCTTATTTATTCAGCTTTCAGATGATCTATAAATCTCAATTTCGAAAAATTGACTCTTATGACACATATTATTGTAATGCAGTTCAACAACAATACATGGCCAGCTTGATATTTGGTTGGTTCATTTCAATTACTTTCAATTGTGAATTCAATTTCAAAATTGAATTCACAGAAATTCTTATAGTTGAGTCAAGAGGAGAAAATGTGAAAACCTTTTTTCAATGCTCTTGTCCAAGCAATTTCAAATTTGAGGACTTAAGCTTTCAAGCTCAAAAAGGACACAAAAGCACCATCAAAAATAAATGAAGTGGTCTATATGTATTTTACACTATATTTGTGCTATATTTCAGTACAAAGTTTGATGTTTTGTGTGAGGAAACGGATCAAACATTTATGTCAGAATTATTGCAAAATCAACCGTATATTTTAAGATGAGTGTCTGTGAGTTTAAAGTTTTGTTCTTGTTTATATTACTAACAATTCCAGGGTGTGATTGAAGATAGACTAGGTTATTTCCCAGCATCCTTTGCACATCAGGTGAGGGCAGGCGACAGGGTGTTCAGATGTAACCGGACCTTTATTGGCTGTAAGGAGCAAGGGCAGATCACCCTGAAGGAGGGACAAGTGAGTACACTTGCTGTAGCCTCAAATAATTTCTAACTTGGATTCTCACAACAAACAGCTTGATAATGCTGCTGTATTGACACACTTTCAGATTTGTGTCAGCGGTGAGGATGAACACAATGGCTTCATCAGAGTAGCCAGCGGGAAAAAGAGAGGATTCGTGCCCTGTGACGTCCTGGAGAACATATGAAGTGAAAGAACAGAGAGAAGAGATGGTTAGTTTAAAGAAAAGGGCAATGATCTTTGAGTGATCTTTGAATCCACCTGTAAGGTGACACTGGAGGGATCAGAACAGCCCTGTTCTAACCCCTGTCTCCCTCAGTGACAATGGAAGAATGTACAGTGACTCCAAAGAGTATTTGGACATCTTAAGTCGCACCTAAAAATGTATAAACCATCTGCAAACAGTTGATGCCAGAGTTTTTCTTACTTTTCTAAGCAATTTTTTCAACCAATCATATTTGCTGAATGAAATCCAATACTTGTTGCTTACTAAGTTGTGGTGGTGAACCCAAAAATAGTGCCCGTTTTCCTCGAGTACATCACACTTTCTCACAAAATGTGATGTGCTTTTTGTAGCATTTTCGACAACCATTTGTAAGGTGAAGTCCTGTATTACCCCATAACTACCAGGAAAAACTGCCACAAAACATGATTTTGTTTGATCTTGTTTGATTTCCATGATCTTCCTCTGAGCCAGTTTACAACTATTTGTTCAGTCGTCAGCTGGTTTTCACATGTATGAGGCCTTTTTTGCAAATCAGCAGATTTTTTTTT